GCAGTGGGCGGGCAGTTGGAGGGCAGTGAGCGGGCAGTGGGAGGGCAATGGAGGGCAGTGGAGGGCAATGGAGGGCAGTGGGCGGGCAGTGGAGTGGAGGGCAGTGGGCGGGCAGTGGAGTGGAGGGCAGTGGGCGGGCAGTGGAGGGCAGTGGGCGGGCAGTGGAGGGCAGTGGGCGGGCAGTGGAGGGCACGTACGGTGCAGCGAGGTGAATGAAGATCTCGTCGGCGCCCGGGATGTGCACCTGGTTGACGGGGTTCAGCCCTGCGCCCACGAAGAACAGCACCAGCCCCTTGTGCGCGTTGTGCATTCTGTCTGGCGCCTGGTGGTGGGGGAGAGGGGGGAGAGGGGGGAACGGAGGCATGCAGTGGACCGTTACAGAACGTGGCTTGGAAAGGGGAGCAGCAGCCCCTTGTGCAGTGGGGCAGCTTAAAACATGTCATGGTGGAGAGGAGATGGCAGCGGCCCACAACACCAGCACAGCACCATGTCGCACCAGCACAGCACAGCACAGCACAGCACAGCACAGCACATGCGCAACACTTGTACACCACATGAGCAACACCATGCCATGCCATGCCATGCCATGCCATGCCATGCCGTGCCATACACATACATACCATGAGAATGAGCCAGTGCCACCACTTGTATCGGTTGGTGACGGTACGGTTCAGCCACTGGTGGGTGTACACCTTCAGCACGTACCCCGTCCACCACCCCCCGCCCTCCTTGGCTCGCATGCGGTTGCCCGTGTCCTCCCACCTGCCAGTCGCAGGGCAGACAGAGCAAGGAACGCCATAGGTCGGATGGGTAGCGGCAAGAGACACCACTGTGCAGTTCCTCATCGCAGTTCCGCATCGTATCGCATCGCATTGCATCTTCGGTATAAACATTTTCATTCAGCAGTAAACCGTGACAGTTCCTCCCCATCTCGCAATAGCTTCGCAGAGAAAGAGGCAACGCAGACTACCGTACTTTATGCCTTGCCTTCCCTGCTGCTTGCAGAGCAGGGAACAGTGTAGAAGCCCTCACCAGGAAACGCGGAACAGCCCTAACAGCTGTGCTGGGCAGTGTTGGCCTACCATGCTCTACTCTACTGTGCTGTGGGAAAAAGGGATACCCAGGCGAGTGTGCGGTATCAGAGGAGAGCAGGCTTGGTCGGAGCTTGAAGGATGCCACGTGAGCGACGGTCAGCGCGAAGGCAAGAGGCAGAATGCGACGAGTGAGAGGCAGAATGCGACGAGTGAGAGGCAGAATGCGACGAGAGGCAGAATGCGACGAGTGAGAACCGCCTGGAGATGCCTGGCGACGACCGCAGGGCTTGACGCGTGCGTACGCGATATTGCAAAGGCACGATCATGCGAAGGACGCATGTTCGGAACGGTACTGTATCGGTTGCCTGAACCAAGGGCAATATCACCGCAAGTACGAGTGCAATCAGCCCGAATTGACAGCCGCAGGCCACAGGCATCTGAGTCTGGTACGGGTAATTGCGGACTGGGCATTACGGACTGGGCATTACGTACAGTGCAGATTCGACACGATGAGGCAGTGTAGGTCGATGGAAGTGGACAACTCACCTGAATTCCGGATCCGCGGTATAAACATATCGGTCCATAACCGTGCCATGGCAGTTCCGAGCAGTTTCGCACCCGCTCTGAGGAAACGCGGACGGATGGAAGCTCGCGGATTTTCCGGAATAAACAGTGGCAGATCGGAGTAATAACAAGGAAGTTATATACGCCACTACAAGGAAAACGATCAAAACTAGAACGCGGCCGATCGTAAGATGAGATTTAAAGACCGCTTGAAGAGTTCTGGTCAATCGACTAGTCCCCGTCGAGTGGAATCGCGTCATTATGACCGGCCTGCTTACACTAGTTCCAGAAATATGTGAAAGCAAACGCGCGGACGCCGCGATTCTGGCTACGCATTAGAAAAATGTCGAACTGGCCAATACTGGGCTTCGATGACCTAGCCTACTTTCAGGTTTGGAGAGGGCCCAGTAATACCGCTGCTATGGTACGTGCGATCACCTCGTACCGTGTCCAAAATATCCGTTACCCCAAGAAGTGAATTCGCCCAAACAAAGTGGTGCGAAAAAAAAACAAGAGGCGACGAAATCGTCTTAGGGTTGCGAAGCGTTTTGCAATACGTAACTAAATGAAATTGTACAACTTCTAATTCTGTACAAGCTGTAGTATGACACTAAGTGGTATTTGATACAACCTAGCAAAAAAACTAGAAAAAACACATCAGCAGGATTTGACTTGGAGACCTTCGGATTGCATGTTCGATGCTAAACGACTGCGTCAACACTAATGTTCGAAATCTACAACAAATTTTATTCAAAGCATTTTTGTTCGACAAATCTGGGACTGCTTTAGGGTTTGCTAGTTGAGAACTCCGCCAGACACGCTCCACCTACTAGTGCAAGGTAAGAACAAGCCTAGCCTATCAATCAGGACCAAGTTAGATCATTACAAGCTAACATAAGTCTAGCCTACCCTACCATTTCTTAATCTCATGTCGTATTAGTTTAATATAGTGTTGGCTGCAAGTTGTTTTAAGCTTAGGTTATAGGCCGCATTTCATCTGTTTCTCCTACCCGCTCCTCTTTCCGTCTTAATCTTAACGTTAGTCTTATTCGTTAGCCATAAACTTCTCTCGCACCTCGTTCTTTTCTACCATTCGTTTCTCTTGTCACGGATTTGTTTTCTTCCATGGTTATCTTTTCTTTGTTAGCTTGCACTTGTTCCTTCTATTTTTATTGCGCATGCTGAGCGTCTAGCTCCCGACCTTTCGAAAACTATATTTGTCTCGCTCTCTCTTTGTCTCGCACTCTCTTTGCCTCGGTCTCTCTCGTTCTCTCTCCCTCTCTCGCTCTCGCTTTCGCTCTCTCTCTCCCGTTCTCTCTCCCGTTCTCCATCCCGTTCTCTCTCTCTCTCGTTCTCGCTCTCTCTCTCTCTCTATCTCTCTCTCTCTCTCTCTCTCTCGAGCTCTCTCTCTCTCTCTCTCTCTCTCTCTCTCGCTCTCTCTCGTTCTCTCTCTCGTCTCTCTCTCTCTCTCTCTCTCTCGCTCTCTCTCTCTCTCTCTCTCTCTCTCTCTCTCTCTCTATCTCTCTCTCTCTCTCTCTCTCTCTTTCTCTCTCTCTCTCTCTCTCTTTCTCTCTCTCTCTCTCTCTCTCTCTCTCTATCTCTCTCTACCGTTCTTTCTCTCTCGTTCTCTCTCTCTCGTTCTCTCTCTCTCTCTCTCTCTCTCTCTATCTCTCTCTCCCGTTCTTTCTCTCTCGTTCTCTCTCTCTCTCTCTCTCTCTCTCTCTCTCTCTCTCTCTCTCTCTCTCTCTCTCTCTCTCTCTCTCTCTTGTTCTCTGTCTCTCTCTCACTTGTTCTCTCTCTCTCTCTCTCTCTCTCTCTCTCTCTCTCTCTCTCTCTCTCTCTCTCTCTCTCTCTCACTCTCTCTCTCTTTCTCTCTCTCTCTCTCTCTCTCTCTCTCTCTTCCTCTCGTTCTCTCGTTTTCAATCTCTGGTTCTCTCTCTCTTCCTCTCGTTCTCACTCCCTCTCGTTCTCTCTCACGTCCTCTCTCTCTCTCTCGTCCTCTCTCTTTCATTCTCTTCATTCTCTTTTAAGCTTCAATTCTTAATATCACATCTTTCTTCTTGTATTCGATGCTTCTTTTTTGTTATCACAGATACTCGCTTTTAGGCAGGATGGATTTTGAAGGAAGGGAGTGTCGTACCACTTACAGTGCATTTTTTTTAGTTCCTTTAATTATGAGTAATTGTTTGATTTGTTTCATTTCTGTTTGTATTATGCTTCTTCTCGTTGCAATCGTAATGCATGTCTGCATTTTTCAAAAAAATATATTGCCGATCATCGTCACAAAAGGTTGAGTGGTCCACCACTATGACAGTGAAGCCATTTTCAGCTGGACTTGATCGGTTTAGATATTTCTTTGGGATATGCAGATTGTATTGCTTTGTTACAGTAGCTGTATAATTCAACGCTTATATTGCTGACTTCTCCGACACGCTAGGCGGGGGAAGCGGTAGGATAGGATAAATTTTAAACTTCAAATATTCATCAATTCATTTGATGAATATGAGAAATGCAATTATCGTTTGGTCGGTCATTGCAGTTCTCCACAGATTCTTACCTTTCTAAATCATGCGCGTTACAAAAGAACGATGTAGAGTACCGTAGCAATGACCAGCAAATGACCAGAAAGCTTAACTAGTACGGTATGATCATTATGAAAAGATTGTCAAGTTTATTAATACCCTGAACAAGCATTTTCCAGTTATTTTACAATTTTTTTTTTGCAGATAATTAAAATTTCCTTAAATTTTTTTTTCTTTAGGTCGATTGCAATAGGTTGCTTCGCAACCCAAAAATGCGAATTCACCCGACGGTTCGAACCGTGGACCGTCCGTCGTGGCGACGGGTAACGTTTTCGCACAACGTCGTTAGGGTGTTCGCGAGAACGTTGGCGACGTCGCCAAATATTCGGACTGTCATGACAATTTTTCCCGTTTCCAACGTACCGAAACTCTGACATCAGACCGTCCGAAACACAAACGGACTGTCCGCCAGTCCGCGCACGCGATTGGCGCGCGATATTGAATTTCAGCGGGCCGCCTCGCCAAAACATAGAAATGTGCGACTCAGTCGTAAACATTGACATTGACCAATCAAACGTAGACAACCTACAATACAAGTAGCCACGACATTGAACCAGAATTCATCACTACTCTGTACTTGGCACCATAGATCCCTCTAGCCATGCCCAGAACACCCAGTCTGACAACACCTCTCCCAACTCCCTGCCACCGAGCACTGCCGATACGACCACTCCTTCCACAGCTGTTCCCGAAACCCAAGAGTCACAGATACCTGGTCCTTCCAACGCTCCCACTGCTCCTTCTACCACTACCACCATCACCCCTGCTGACTAGTGGGTTTACCAAATCCCCTCCCCGTCCGCCTCCTACGACGCCGACGATGATTACGGACTCGGAGCCGCACTGGATGACAATGGCGCGCCTGGAGAGGTTGAAGAGGAACCCGCGGTTCAGCCATCTGCGCCAAGCACCACCACTGCCGCTGGTTCTCGCCATTCCACTGCCAGAAATGCACCACGTTGGACCCCTAAGGAGGAGTGCGAGGTGTTGGTGACTTTCATAGATCTCGACGCGCAGATCCGCGCACGCACCGGACAGCAAGGACGGTCCTGGTACCCCTTGGTCCAGGGGGATATCCTGGAGCGCATCCCCGCATGGCGCCATGACGTGGCAGCACTTAAGGCAAAGTTCAACCGCCTCAAGGCGGAGTGGCGTCGCATCAACGACCGCATCAAGCGATCAGGAGAGGGACACGTCACAAACCTGCCGCCATGGTACCATCTCGACGAGCGCCTTTGGGGTGAGCGCCCAAGCACCGTACCCTCTGTCCTTGCAAGTACCGGCCTCCCTCCTGCTGGTAGGGCGACGGCGCGTTCTGCTCCCCCGACCGCGACCAACACCCGCGCCACACCAACAACAGTCCCTTCTACGTTGCCATCTGGGACTACTATCCCGACTGTGGCGGCGCCTCTACCCCTGTCTTCAAGCACCACGCCGACTACTGCCGCGCGCACCGTCACCGCTCCCCTGTCCAGGGTTGGTGCGCTCACGACGCCGGCATCGAATGACTCCGCGTCGGCCCCGCTAATGCAACGAACCACCCTGCCGCGTCCTCCTGCTCCCGTCGCTGTGAATATTCCAACCGTCGTCCCCGCGCCGTCCCCCTCCCCCAGCCGCAATGCCGAGCCTGGCTCTCCCGGTCAAGATGCTGGCGCCCTCGCTCCGTCTCGTCACACAGCCGAGACTCCACTCTCGCCAGACACCATCACACCGAGCAACGGCGGCTCCCCAAGCGGCGGTACGCACCCTTTAGGTGCGACGACGAGTATCTCTATCCGCGGACGGCGCCTCACTTGGGGAGCGCGCCCTTCGTCTAATGGCGGGGAGGGGTGTTCAAGGAATGCGTGGTGGCAGTACCCACGCAAGCAAGACGCCGAGACGGATGGGAAGAAAAAGAATGCCGCAAAGCGCATAGTTGGCCGCAAGGCAGCCGAGCAGAAGAAACCGTCAACCACGGCTGAGTTGGTAGGGGATCTAGGGGATCATTTTGACAAACGGCAGGATGAGAAGTGGGAGGAATTCAAATCACTTACCCGGGAGGTGTTTCGTGGGTACGCGGATGAGCGGCACAGTAGGAGGCGTAGATCGCCGCAGTCCACCTCCTCATCCGAAGACGAGGAGTGAAACGGTGCACCTCCTGGCCGGTAAGTCGCAGCGTAGCCACGGGCCCCTCGAGCCACCATCGGTGGCGCTCCGGCGGGGGGCCCAGCCGATCCCTACTGCCGATTGTCAGTTCGATATTGTGGAGTGCCACACAGGCACTCACCACCTGCGGCACCCTCTCACTGTGGCACTCCATCCGGCAGTCCAGGATGCGCCACTTGCCTTTGAGCCTCCCGTTGACTTGCTCGATTATCATACGCTGACGCGATTGTTGCGTATTCAATTTGTCCTTTGCACGTGGCAGGGAGCGACCGGGAGTAGCGCGCCAAGGCACACAAGTGTAGCTTGTTAGAGCGTAAGCTGCGTCCGTGACTAGCATGTAGTTCCCCAATTCGCCAGCCTCTAGACGCCTCTTCAGGGGGGAGTTTGTAAATACCCGGGAGTCGTTGACGCTTCCGGGGTATCCCGCATTGTAGTCCCAGATTATCCCGTTTGAATCACATGCAATCTGTAGGATGATGGAATAAAAGCCTTTCCTGTTTTTGAAGTCCTCCTTGTCTCTCCCGAAGCCACGACACTCAATGTACGTCCCATCTAGCGCTCCTATTACACCGGGGATACCGCCTTCATAACGGAACTCTTCGGCAATCTCGGCCATCTGCTCAGCGGAAGGGTGAGAAACCCAGAGAGGGAGTAGTTTGTCCACTATGAACGCCATGAAGCCCAACACTATTCTCTGCGCGTGCTGAGGCACGACACCGAACTGCAGGCCGAGCTGCCGGAACGTAGTGCATGTGCCTAGATAAACTAGTGTCATTGCGACGCACGTTTCTATAGTTATCACGCGCTGGCGGTCACCGTTCCTACTTATCAAGGCATCTACCAAGTAATCGAAAACACGCCGGTTAACGCGGAAGGTGTCTGTGAAAACTTGACGCGGCATTCCGCCGAGAAGATAATCCCACCTCTCCCTCTGTCTCTCGCGGTCCCGTTGCATGGTGTGGCGGTCCTCGTCATCGAGCAGTAGGACGATCTCCGCAATGTAGTCGAGCCCGGGTCGCACAATGAACTCTTGGTAACCTCTATACAAGAGGTGTAGTACGGATAGTAGGTGGCGGCGCGACATACGCTCGAGCAGAGAGTTGTCTCTGCTCTGTTCTGCAGTTGCGACTGGTGTGCTTTGGTGGGGCTTGGCTTGGATGGCCTTTGAGCTTGGTTGACATTTCCTTTCTTTGTCCGAGGCGCAGAATGTCTCTGGCGAAAATTGCGAGGGGGTGTGACCAGCGTTACGGGTGTACATTTGAGCTGGCAAAGGAAAAAACAATCGCGAAACCCTAGACTGATGAAAAAGTGTCATGACAGCCTTCGGACAGTCCGAAGTTGCAAAAATTCAAATCGAACAGTCCGGTTCGATATAAACGGACCGTCCGATTCGATACAAGCGGAAGGTACATCAAAATAAAAAAATGCAAAATGGTTACGCGCCCTAACACAACATGCAAATGTCAGCCGAGTAAGCCGTAACTTCACCACCAACCCACCCGTTTGTGGTTGTGCGAACTCCGTCAGATTAGGCACAGTCGGCTCGCAACTGGGGCGGGTTACCGCTCGCGGCCCAGGTCACTTGTGATTCGGAAGATGAGTTTTATGTAGGCGGGGCTAAGAGTCCACGTGGTGCAAATTCGTTTGGCGCAGTGCTGACGCGCTGTGCGTTTTTTTCGTCAGAGTGTACACTCTTTTGCTGACTCGAAGTTTTGTACAATGTAGTTTTTTTTTCCTAAAATGAACTCATGGGACACGCCCTGATGATGGAGCTCAGCGAGCTCTCCTCCATACAGCGACCATGGATTAGACTGAGGACGCGTCAGATCGGTGTTTTGATTGGACAGCGTTTTGGCGACGTCGCTAAGGAAGGGTTTCCTGATTTTGTGAAATATCGCAAGTGTACAGTAAACTGCTCAGCAAGATGTTGTAACCTCTGGCTCGCGCGATCAATGTGCCAGACCTCAAATATCGAACGTAAAATGTGCTGATCGTGCAATTTTGCCCTATAATTTTGTCAGAATGTTATTATTGTCTAGCCTGTAGTGGGGTGCTCTATAGCGAGTACAACCCAGTTAGGGTTTGCTATATGTACCCCAACTGCTGCTAGTGAAACCCCTCTCTCCTTTCAATCATTCTTGCCTAGTCCTTCTGACATGCTATCAGAGCAGGTCGATCCCTTTGGATCGATCCTGTGGGTGGGCTCACCACCTCGTTGCTTCCGCTGCAACTTCCGCTGCTACTCTATGTGCCGCACGCCCCGTGGCGTGCGGCAGTTTATTCTTCCCGCCGTGCGCCCCGAGGCGCGCGGCGGTTTTCTGCCCGCCGTGCGCCCCGTGGCGCGCGGCGGTTCTCTGCCCGCTGTGCGCCCCGAGGCGCGCGGCGGGCTTCTGCCCCGTCACTCGACGCGTCGCCCCCGGGAGGCGTTGCGACGGGCGACGGGGACCCGCGCGTCGCCCCCCGTCGCCCGTCGTGGCCTGCGCGCGGCCCGTACAGCCGGCGCGCGGCCCGTACGGGCTGCGCCAGGCCTGCGCGCGGCCCGTACGGGCTGCGCCAGGCCCGCGCGCGGCCCGTACGGGAAGCGCCAGGCCCGCGCGCGGCTCGGGCCGCCTGCGCGCGGTTCGGGCGGCTATACCAGGCCCGTGGGCGGCCCGTTCCTCGCTGCTCCTGCCCTCTCCACTGTCCCCCGTGCTTCTACCGGCGCCCCACCCCTCCTACAGCCCGTTCTCCTGAATTAGGGTTTGGGGGTGAAGAGTGTGGGGGTGGCGGCTATGGGGGTGTCGGTTGTGAGTTCCTCCCCCTGCTCCTCCTCCTCCCTCGTCTCCCTCTGCTACAGCTGCCGCTGAGGGGGGTGGTGTGTGGGAGCCGAGGGTTTAGGGTTTAAGGGGGGTGCCGTGGATGTGGAGCTAGGGTTTCAGCAGGGGGTGTGTGAGAGGGGCGTGGGACGGTCGGGGGAGGTTGCGTGGAGGTAGCCGTCGTGACGCCAGCAGCGCCAGTAGTCCGGATGCCCTCGCGCGTTTCGGTAGCCCAGCGAGCCTGCTTCGCCAGTCGCCTGTGGGTCCGTTGCTCCTGTGTGTGCTCGTCGTAGCCGCGGAGCCAGATACTCCCGTAGTCCGGTGCCCTCGTGCGCTCGGTAGCCACTGTGCGCGCCGCTCCTGTTGCCCGTGTGTCTGCAGCTTCAGTCGGCGCCTTTCATCTTCTCGCCCTCACAGTTTCTCCTCCTCCTCACTTGCCCTCTATGATCACCTCTAGCTTTGCTTATAATTGTGAACTATTGCTATGCCTGCTCATTGTACTGATTACACCCCACTTTGGCTATGGGGGTGTGTCAGAATGTTATTATTGTCTAGCCTGTAGTGGGGTGCTCTATAGCGAGTACAACCCAGTTAGGGTTTGCTATATGTACCCCAACTGCTGCTAGTGAAACCCCTCTCTCCTTTCAATCATTCTTGCCTAGTTACTTTGACAGATTTTTCGACCTTGTAACCCGTGGCTTGGTTTGTTGAGGCAATCGCAAGTCCGCAGACGTTCGTGGCAGGGTTGGTGTGAGCACCCGAACCTCCTTCGAACCTGCCAAATTTGGAAGAGGTGAGGCATCCTAAGGACGCGTCACATTTAAAACATCGATCCTGCAGGGGATCGATGTGTGGGGTGTACAGTAAGTCGCCATGTCTTGTATCCCTTTTTCGCTGATATTCGCTAGAACTCGAGACACGTCACCGAGTGCGATGTCTCTTCCAGATCGAACTATCACCGCACTCGAAACATATGTAATGCGTTTACAACTACCAATAACAATTCTAACCCCGCTAAATCTCGAGCTTGAAGACGATCGCGACACATGTGGCTCATAGGTGATCGATGCCCACAGCTTCGTTGCGTGACCCCGAACCTCCTTTGGTGTGTCAAATGTGACGCGTCCTAAGCACTGGTGTATCACTGGTCCCGATACAATGCGAACGTCGAACATCCGTGCTATCTTGTAGCTTCTCCTTAAACTTATTCATTGGTAAACCAGTCATTTACGAGACATTGGTTTTCCCTATTTCAAGGCGAGCGCCCTCGATGTTTGTCAGGCATTTTCCAGCTTAGCTTATACAGTCTCTCTTTACCATGGATCAGCAATACTATCATCGTCTTCGCATAACACTGATTTCATACAGCCTTTTGCGACGTGCAACTTCAAGGCTACTCCATCGAGTTATCACTTCAAATCTACAAGTCCCTAGAGCCTGACAAGTTCAGAAAACTACTTCATAAGGATGTGCCCAGCCATCCGGCAGATCAAGCTTCATCTGCTGTTAGCAACTTCTTTACTCAACCAGATTTTCATCATCGTACGATGCCATCCCAAGGGTCCTTGCTCCAAGCCTGCCAGTGACCCGCCTTCTCTCAATGGCATCGTCGATCCCAGCTCTGCTCTTCTGGGTTAGATTGAGTTTTCAAATATATAGCTCTTCTGGCTTTGGAGCAACCATGGCAAGTCACTAGCCTAGACTTCATCAATGGGCTTCCTTCAACCTCACAGGGGCATAACGCATACTCGTGGTGATCGACAAGTTCTCCAAAATGGGTCACTTCATCTAAACCAACCCCACGGTTACGGCTGAAACAACTGCTCGCCTCTTCTTCGACCGCATCATCATTATCTACGGCATCTCCATTACACTCATCTCGGAAAGGGACCCAAAATTCACTAGTAAGTTCTGGAAGGAATTTATGGGTTTGTTGGGGACAAAGCTTGCAATGAATTCATCAGACCACCCCCAGACTGGCAGACACACAGAGCGACTCAATCAGGTGGTTGAACAGTTACTACGTACCGCATGCAAAGATGATATCAGCCACTGGGACCAGCAATAACCAACGCTTGAGTTTATTTACAACAATGCATCTTATGCGGCCACAGGAAAATCTCCATTCTTCCTGTGTTACGGGCGTGAACCACTCACACCACAGCAGCCAACCAAAACCAGCAC